ACAGTTTAAAAAGCACACACGTATTATCTCAGTTTTGTGGGTGAAAAATCTGCATATGGCTTAACTGTCCCCTCTGCTTTCGTGTCTTTCTCAGGGGACAGTCACACTGTTGGCTGGTGCCGTGCTCTCATCTCATGGCACAAGTGGGAAGGATGCACTCCAAGCTCATGTGGTCAAGATTCAGTTCATCAAGGGTAGTTGGACTGACATCTTCAGTTCCTGGCTGGCTGCTGCTCAGGGGCTGCCCTCAGTTCCTTGCCATGTGGGCCTCTTAACAAGGCAGACTGTGTCACTGAAGTGTGCAAGCCAAGAAAGCAATGGAGAGAATCTGCTAGCAAAACAGAAGTCAAAATCTTGGTGATATATCCACAGAAATGAGATCCCATCAATTTTGCCATAATCTATTCACTATTTAAAAAAAAAAAAAAAAAAAGTCAGGCCGGGAGCAGTAATCACGGTATAGGTAATTATGCCTGTAATCCCAGCACTTTGGGATGCTGAGGTGGGTGGATCATGAGGTCAGGCATTCAAGACCAGCCTGGCCAACATGGTGAAACCCCGTCTCTACTAAAACCACAAAAAATTTGCTGGGTGTTGTGGCACACGCCTGAAATTCTAGCTACTCAGGAGGCTGAGACAGAAGAATCGCCTGAACTCGGAGGGTGGAGGTTGCAGTGAGCCGAAATTATGCTACTGCACTCCAGCCTAGGCAACAGAGTGATATTCTGTCTAAAAATAAAAATAATAATAATAATAATAATTAAAAAATTTAAAAAGTCACTAGGTCCATCACAGACTCAAGAAGAAATAAATTATACAAGAGCATGAATACCAGGAGGTGGGGATCACTGTGAGCTGTGTCATAAACTGCCTATCATGCCTTGGAGTCATCCTCAATTTCTCACCTTCTCATACTCTCTATCCAATCCTTCAGGCAGCCCAGCAGGCTGCACCTTCAAAGCAACTGACTCAGCATCCCTCAGTGGCTTGCTCAAATGTCACCTGTTCAGTGGCATTTAACCATCTTACTTAAAACTGCAACTCACCCACGGACACACACATTCCCCCTCCTCTTCCCTCATTTTCCTTTATAGCACCAATCACCATCAGACATTCCAGATATTTAATCGTCTTTTAAATTTGCTCTCTCTCCACCTTAGCATATAAGCTCTACGAGGGCAGTGGTTTTTACCTATTTTGTTTACTGCTGTATTCCCCAGGCCCAGTGCAGCACACACAAAACAAATATCGTGGAATGAATAAATGTTAAAATACATGGAAATATGTTCTCTTCTTTTAAAAACCTAAGGGAACACCTTATTCAGAGTGTCAAAGATTCCATCATCTATATACATAAGTATAGACTCTGTTGGTTTCACTAGGCTCCTAAATGGAGACCATCACAGCTCTAGCCACCTACTACCCATTCCTAACCCCTCCTATACCAAAACCAGCTGAGATTGGCCAAAGGAACAGGCTCCATTTCAGCCTCAAAATTCTAGGGTGGTCTCTGACTTAGCCTTGAAAACCACACTCCATGGACCTCCTGGTCTAAAACTACAGGGAATATTCTGCCAAGGAAGCCCTCAACTCCAAAAGACCTTGCCTGCCAATGGGCAGACCATGGTCATGGGCAAACAGCAATGAGAGGCAGCCAAGGACAGAAGGAACCGGGTGTATTTTTCTGCTTAATGACCAATGGGCAAGAGGCTCAAGGGACTCTTTGTAACATAGTGCGCCTCAAACTTTTCCACACCAGTATCGTTTGGGGCAGCAAAAATGATCACTGAATCCTGGGGCTTGGAGGTCTAGACTGAAGCTGACCAGGAAGCTAGAAATGTATCTGCTCATCTTAGTTTTCACTTTAAGATTCACCTAGTTTTCATATTTTCCCCAGTAATGTAGCTGCATTGAATTTAACGCAACAGTAATGCTTTAAATTACTTACACATTTTTTCAAAAAAATTCTACCTTTTTTTTTTTTCAGTCAATGAATGCAATGCTAAAGTACCAAGAAATTCTGGAAAATTTGTATTGAATTGAAGTGAGTGCACATTGCAAGCAGATTCAGGGCAATTTCTTTTCATGATAGCTGGAAAATTCAGATGCTCTTAAACATTTGGGTGCAGAAGGCAGATGGCAGACAGCAAGGAAGTCTCGGGGGAGAAAGTACTGTCAGGGAGGAAGTACCATGCACCTTATTGAGGCTCCTACCCATGGACATTCTGTATTAGTCCATTCTCACACTGCTAATAAAGACATATCTGAGACTGGGTCATTTATAAAGAAAAAGAGGTGCTGGGCGCGGTGGCTCACGCCTGTAATCCCAGCACTTTGGGAGGCCGAGATGGGCAGATCACGAGGTCAGGAGATCGAGACCATCCTGGCTAACACGGTGAAACCCTGTCTCTACTGAAAATACAAAAAATTAGCCGGGTGTGGTAGCAGGCGCCTGTAGTGCCAGCTACTAGGGAGGCTGAGGCAGGAGAATGGTGTGAACCCAGGAGGCGGAGCTTGCAGTGAGCCAAGATCGCGCCACTGCACTCCAGCCTGGGCGACAGAGCAAGGCTCTGTCTCAAAAGAAAAAAAGAAAAAGAGGTTTAATGGACTCACATTTCCACATTTGTAGGGAGGCCTCACAATCATGGTGGAAGGTGAAGGAGGGGTAAAGGCATGTTTTATATGGTGGCAGGCAAGAGAGAGTATGCAACGGAACTCCCCTTTATAAAACCATCACATCATGTGATACACATTCACTATCACGAGAACAGCATGGGAAAGACCTGCTGCCATGATTCAATTACCTCCCACTGGGTCCCTCCCACAACATATGGAGATTATGGGAGCTACAATTCAAGATAAGATTTGGGTGGGGACACAGCCAAACCATATTAATTCCACAAACATCCTCTTAGACAGCAAGAAGCTGGTATCAGATGGTGGAATTTAGCAGTCTCTGATCCCAGTTGCTCGTTCTCTCTTTTTTTCTGTCCCTCTCTCTCTTCCCCTCCTTGGAAAATAGTCTTCAAAAGATATTTCCGTGAACTGCAATGGAAGCTATTTCCATGAACAAAGATGACTGATTTTTTTTGGTTCTATTTCATCACCAAGGTTGTAACTTTTGTCAACTGAAAATGAATTAAGCCTCCAAAGACTCCGTCTCCATAATCAATTATAGCCATTGATATCTCAAATTTCATTGTCATCCTATCAATCTTGTAAAATACAATACAAGCAATAAAACAAAATAAAATTTACACTAATTTGACTTTTTTAAAAAATCTGCTAAATACAGTATTGAGAGCTAGGCTTTCCTATTAGGTCAAACACTAAATTCACAGTTTTACCCTTTGTCCTAATGTCTACTTAAAACTTGGTAAACAATAATAATTCAGGCCTGAATTCAGTCCTCGACAACTGAGATTGCTTCTTCCTTTGACAAAAGCTGCAAACATCTGTGTAGAAGTCATCGAACTCACTCCCCATTTCAATATAAATTATGAGAAAAGATGAGTACCCAAACTACTTTTGTTTCTACTCTTTTCAACACTCCATCGAACACAATGAGAAACACTCTGGTGTGAGAAGCCATAGGTAAATGAAGCAGCACCTTCTGGAATGTTCTGGGTGATAAATAGCCTTGATGCAGGTTTCTGCTGCTATTTTACCAGTCACACAATTGGCCTTGTTTTCACAGCATATTTGCACTTTTTTCTTTCTTAATCAGTGCTATGCTTGTTAAAATACAAATCTGGTCAACAATTCACCAGTTATTATCTGACACATTGCAAAGTAGCACATCTCTAGGTAAGACGCTATCATAGAGACCCTGGGGCTGACTGCCTGGGTTGGAGTACCATCTAGCTCTACCAATCTCTGGCTGTATGGCTGTATCTGCTAAGTGCCTCAATTTCCTTATCTATAAAATGGGTTCTTGAATGAGTTAACATGAATGGAGCACTGACCCACGGCAGATCAGAAGTTCTATGTGTGTGAACTTTTACTGTATTTCACTGTATCTAATATGTTGTTAATTATAACATGCACCATTATTTTATATATCACTGAGGAAACAAACAGAAAATGCTACTAATTAAATTATGACATAATACTTTCTTAGATCTCTTAAAATTGTAAAGACTTATTGAGGGGCTGGGCACAGTGGCTCACGTCTGCAATCCCAGCACTTTGGAAGGCCGAGGCAGGTGGATCATGAAGTCAGGAGATTAAGACCATCCTGGCTAACATGGTGAAACCCTTTCTGTACTAAAAAATACAAAAAATTAGCCAGGCGTGGTGGCAAGCGCCTGTAGTCCCAGCTAATTGGGAGGCTGAGGCAGGAGAATTGTGTGAACTCGGGAAGTGGAGCTTGCAGTGAGCTGAGATCACGCCACTGCACTTCAGCCTGGGCAACAGAGCGAGACTCCATCTCAAAAAAAGACTTGTCGAAAGTAATTTTTTAGACTTATTTAGACATCTCATGTGTCACCCTTGGGCACTCATAGGAAAAGAAGTGAAAAGGATTGGTCAAGTTATTCCCAAAACTTTTTCAGAGAGTCTCAATCTTTGTGATTTTCAGCTCAATCTTGTCATTGTGTGTATCTTTCAACGCAAAGTCACCCTTTGCCATCAAGAGTGTTGATGAGGAAGCAGTTCTTACAAAGATGCTACGCTGAAGTCTCAGAGGTTTCTCCCAGGCTGCTGACACTCATTCTGCAAATTTTGTTGCCGGGTCTTTCTGGATCTCACCAGAAGGTGTCGGCAATGACAACCATGTTATGACCTTGTGTTAATGACCGTAAGACATTGATCTTAAGACCCATCCTAATTACACAGCTGCTAAAAATGTATGTGGGGGGGTGGTTAGAATCACAGCTTAGAATCAATGAAATGTTACTATTATTACATTTTCATTACAAATAGAGCAAATAAAGCTTGCTAACATGGTTGAATCATCAATGTCACCCCTTCATCGAACAGTAAGGTAAAGAACCACTAACCTGGATCAGGATCTCAACTGGTTCAAATGCAGTTTCTGAACACATTCAATTTGTCATTTCACAAGGGCATGATTTTCAGCATGGTGCTGAATTTTGACCCAAATCAGGTTCATGCAAGTCCACCAAGGTTTTTCTTGAGATGTTCAGGTCACTGTCCAAGCGGTTCTCAAAGGAAATATCATTTTTTACTTATATATTTGATTATGCATCTGTAGGAATAAGAAACACACACGGTATTGATTCCCTTCAATCAGCTGCTCATCTTTATCTGCGTTGGGCTGCCTTGCCTGTGATTCCTGGGCACACTCTGAAACAGAGTTGCACCTGAGCAGTGGTTCTCAAATCTGGCAGCAGTACAGTGCCCTGGAGAGCTTAGTGACAAGGCAGACAACAAAGACCTGACTCACGAGCTGGACTAAGCCAGGCTCTAAAAGTGAGACCTGGAAATCTGCATTTTAAAGAACAGCCTTCCCAGCCATGATTCTGATGCAACCAAAGTTTGAGAGCTGCAGGCCTAGAAAAAAATAGTGGAAAAAAATGGGCAACAGATGCAACAAGGGACATGACGGGAGAGGGGAGCATAAGGAATGGTTGCTTCCACAGAACACCTTCTCCAAAAGTGGCTCTTTTTCAACAACTTTTGCAAGGTAATACATTGATTTTGCAGGGGTGTTAACGTGATGAAAGATGTGAAGGCAGCTATGGGGAGGGTTTAGGTTATGATGTTTTCTGCCTCGATCACAAGTTCAATCCCAGCCAGATGAAATAATTTGAAAGTTTACCAGCTACGCAGGAAGAGTCCAGCAGCATGGTCAAGCAGCTTGCTGAGATCCTGAGGGAGCTTGTCCCTTTCCATCCCTCCTCTCTGCCACACTCAGCGTTGGCTTCATCAGAAGGCTGGAACCCTCATGACTGTAGAGACTTCCAGGAAAACAGGAGTAATGAGCTCACTGAGGAGGCCCTAGGAAATGGCAACCAACTGACTCACCTGTTTAGAAATTACTGTGAGGGGTCTTTAGAAGAAATAAAATATAGAGACTACTGTAAAATAATTCAAAGGATGTTTTTGAATATTCATAATCCCAGCAGTCTTATAAAGCCATTACTTCCATGAGTTAATTATGACCTTCTCATTTTGATTCCTCAGAGCATATCTATATAGTTTTGTGTATAATTTTCTTCTCTTAGTATCTTTATGTAAACATTTCTTCATGTTTTATAGTCATTGTGTTATTTTAAATAACAGCATGGCATTGCTTTTTATTGAGATACCACAGCTTGCTTAACGAAACTCTATGATTTCTTCCAGTGATTCACTGTTGCAGGCCATGCTGTGATGAAAATTTTTTGCACATGGCATTTTTAGGTACCTACTGCTTAAATAATTTTCATTTTCTTTCTTGCCCTATGGAAAAGAGAGGAACTTTCTCAGGCCCTCCAGCAAACAGTTCCTCAGCTGCACGGGTCACATGTCTATTCCTGAACCAATCACCAGAAGGGGGTGGGGAGTGTCCTAACACCCATCAGTCCCACCCCAGAGCTGCCCAGGACAGTGCCTGGTCCTCAGCAGTGCTCCACAAATATGTGGTGAATAAATGAATGGTTTCTTAAATGGACAGTTCAACTTCAGTGAGCAACTACATAAAAGCAGCTGAGAGTCCTAAAGTTGCCACCTGGGCTTCTAACACACTCCTTGCTTTCACTGGCTGAAACTAGGACTGATAGCATGGCAGAGAAGCCGGTCTCTCTGGGAAATCATTGAACTATATTGATTATGTAGAAATTTATTTCTAAAGTCTCATTATAGGCTATCTTCCTCACTTCCCAGCTTCTCTTACTTTTCCAAGAAAGATTTCTAATTAATCATAAGTCTATTAAGGGTTTGGAGGAGGAGGAGGAGGAGGAGGAAGAGAAACCTCGATGGTCTCAGAGGAAGAAACAAACATGACAATGTGTAAGACTTTTTAAATTAATTTCTTTTCTTTTCTTTCTTTCTTTTTTTTTTTGACACAGGATCTTGCTTTGGAGTGCAGTGGCACGATCACGGCTCACTGCGGCCTTGACCTCCTAGGAGGATATCCTCCCACCTCAGCCTCCCAAGTAGCTGAGACTACAGGCACAGGCCACCATACTTTTTTTTTTTTTTTTTTTTTTTTTTTTTTTTTGTAGAGACAAGGTCTCATTATCTTGCCCAGGTTGGCCTCAAACTTCTGGGATGAAGCACTCCTTCCACCTTGGCCTCCCAAAGTTCTGGGATTACAGGCATGAACCCCCAAGCCTCGCCTTAAAATTAATTTCTACTGGCTTCATTTGTTAAAGTTAACAAGGTGAGATTGCTATTACTAGTATTTGTCTTTATCAATTTGAATTTGATCAAATTTATTCTCTCCTTTGCACACTGGAAGTGCGAGTAACATTTCTTCCTTCTCCTGCTCATCCTCCTGATAACAATGGTGATGATGATGGTGATAATGACGGTGGTGATGATGGTGATGATAGTGATGATGGTGGTGATGATGATAGTGTTGGTGGTGGTGACGGTGGTGATGATGGTGATGGTGATGATGATGATAGTGATGATGATGTTAGTGGTGGTGGTGGTGACGGTGGTGATGGTGGTGGTGATAATGGTGATGGTGATGGTGGTGGTGATGGGTGTGGTGATGGTGGTGATGATGATGGTGATGGTGGTGATGATGATAGTGTTGGTGGTGGTGATGGTGGTGATGGGGGTGGTGATGGGGCAGTGAAATGGTGGTGGTGATGGGGTTGGTAATGGTGATGGTGGGGATGGTGGTGGTGATTATGAGGGTGGTGATGGGGGTGGTGATGGTGGTGTTGATGGTGGTGGTGATGGGCTGCTTCAGTCCGTCTCAAGAGAAGGCCTCTATATTTATCATGGCAGGGAAGGACAGAGGCTGAAGTGTCACATGGAGGCTTCCACTGACTCAGCCTGGAAGTAACACACTTCACTTGTGCTCACTTTCATTGGCCAAAGCTAGTCATTAGTCATGTGCCCCCGCCCAAAGAAGGAGAGGAGAGCTGGGTATTGGTGAGCACCTGTAATGCTTACCATACTCACTCATTCAGTAAGTAAGTACCTTCCAGGCCAAACAGGCAATGTGCTAGACTCTGGGTGTTTTAATCCATTCAGGCCACTATAACAAAATACCACAGACAAGGTGGCTTATACACAACAGAAACTTCTTTCCCCCAGTTCTGCAGCCTACATGTCCAAGATCAAGATGCCAACAGATTCAGTGTCTGGTGAGAGCCTACTTCCTGGCTCCTAGACAGTGCCTTCTCACTGTGTCCTCATGTAGTGGAAGGGGCAAATATCTCTCTGTGGCTGCTTTTCTAAGGGCACCAATCCCATCATAACAGCCCTATCCTCATGATCTCATCTAAACTCAATCACCTCCCAAAGGCCCCACCTCCTCATACCATCACCTTGGGGGTTACGTTTTCAGCATATGAATTTTGAGGAGACACAAACATTCAAATCATAGCACTGGGGATATAAAGATAAAATCACCTGAAGCCCTTTCCCAACCCTTATTTCTTTTGAACTGGATCTGTTTTCCCAGAGTGCTACACTGAATAATGGCCCCCAAAGACATCCATATCCTAATCTTTGAAACCTGTGAATATGTTACTGCACACGGTAAAAGAAAATTTGCAGACAGTTTATTAAGGATCTTGAGATGAGAAAACTATCCTGTATTATCTGTATGGGTCCAAGGTACAAATCCTTAAAAGGAGGCAAGAGGATCAAATTAGTAGCAGATGATGGGGCGATGGAAGCAAGAGGTTGGAGAGATGTAAGAAGGGGTCACAAGGCCAGCAACATGGATGGCCTCTGGAAGCTGGATAAGGCAAGGGAACAGATTTTCCCTTGAGGTCTCTGGAGAGAACACAGCTCTGCCAACACCTTGATTATAGACTTCTGACCTCTAGAACTGTAACAGAATAAATTTGGGCTGTTTTTGGCCATTCTATTAGTAGTAATGTGTTAGAGCAGTAGTAGAAAACAAGTACACCTATGCTAGGGCTGGGATAGGAGAGGTACAAAAATTAGTGACAATAGGAGTGGCAGGGCATGGTGGCTCACATCTGTAATCCCAGCACTTTGGGAGGCCGAGGTGGGGGGATCACTTGAGCTTAGGAGTTTAAGACCCAGCCTGGGCAACATGGCGAAATCCTCTCTCTACTAAAAATACCCCCCCACCAAAAGAACATTAGCCAGGTGTGGTGGTGCACACCTATAGTCCCAGCTACTTAAGAAGTTGAGGTGAGAGAATCACTTGAGCCCCAGAGGCAGATGCTGCAGTGTGCTGTGATCACGCCACTGCACTCTAGCCTGGGTAACAGAGTGAGACCATTTCTCAAAAACAGTAATAATAATAATAATAATAATAATGCCAGGTGTGGTGGCTCATGCCTGTAATCCCAGCACTTTGGGAGGCAGAGGCGGGAGAATCATGAGATCAGGAGTTTGAGACCAGCCTGGCCAATATGGTGAAACCCTGTCTCTACTAAAAATATAAAAATTAGCCAGATATGGTGTCATGCACTGTAGTCCCAGCTACTCAGGAGGCTGAGGCAGAAGAATCACTTGAACCTGGGAGGCGGAGGTTGCAGTGAGTCAAGATCGTGCCACTGCACTCCAGCCTGGGTGACAGAATGAGATTCCATCTCCAAATAAATAAATAAATGTGATAAAATAATAACTGCCAACGTCCATCAAGCACTTATTTGATGCTGCGGCTGGCATGGTGGCTCCCTGCCCATAATCTCAGCACTTTGGGAGGCCAAGGTGGGAGGATCACCTGAGCCCAAAAGTCTGACATCTCACAGGAGCCTCCAGCCAGCACCACCTCTCAAGCCTTCCCTCTTTTGTCAGTAGGGAGGTCAGAGAAAGTATTACCAAGTCCACCGACTCAGAGCTCGTGGGGTCCTTGCAGCTTCTAGACTCTAAAGTGCATCTCACTTAAAGAACAAATGCCCCACAGACCAAATCTAGCCAAACAGAGGTTCTTGGGTCCATTGTTGGCCTCCAAGAACAACTGTATGTTCTGAGCGCCACCTAGTGGTACCCAGGGCCCCCAGCGTTTTTGGCTTCTCAAACCTGCTCTTAAGGACGGAGCTCCTACCTTCTGCCTCGGAGGTCTCTCCAGGGAGGCTTAGGTGACTCGAGGACCGCCAGCCCCCTCTGGTTCCAGGGCTCTTCAGAGAGGTCCAAGGCCAGTTGGTTCCTCGAAACTGTATGTTTACATTGGCACTGCCCCATCCTGGACTCTACCTGTCAAGAATGCTTAGGGCACAGAATAATGCGTTTTGTCGTCGATTTGGAGGGAGGGAAGGCCTGTGGGGGAATCAGCATCTCATTTCAATGTGAGAGAAACTAATGGAGGGAAGAGAATTTTTTAAAGCTACTGAGAACACACATTCTTTTGACAACTTGGTTAAAAAGGACCGATTCCTTGAAAAATACAAATGACTACAGCTCACCCAATGTGAACTAGATAATTTGAATATGCCTACAACTGTTAAGGAAATTGAATTTGCAATTTTAAAACTCCCAAAAAAGAAGTCTCCAGATCCAGATGGTTTCACTGAAGAATTCTACCAAATGTTTAAAGAGGAATTCACACCATCTCTCTACATTTTCTTTCAGAAAATAGAAGAGGAGGGAACACTTTCCAATTCATTTTATGAAGATAGTATTTCTTGATATTAAAACCAGAGGTAGGACTGAGTACGGTGGCTCACACCTGAAATCCTAGCATTTTCGGAGGTGAAAGTGGGAGGATGACTTGAGCCCAGGGGTTCAAGACCAGCCTGGGCAACAAAGTGAGACCCTCTGTCTATAAAAATTACAAAACTTAGCCAGACATGGTGGCATGTGCCTGTAGTCCCAGCTACTTGGGAAGCTAAGGCCAGAGGATTGCTTGAGCTTAAGAGGTTGAGGCTGGTGGCCAGGCACCGTGGCTCACACCTGTAATTCCAGCACTTTGGGAGGCCGAGGTGGGAGGATCACTTGAAGTCAGGGGTTCAAAACCAGCCTGGCCAAGATGCTGAAACCCCATCTCTACTAAAAATACAAAAATTAGCCAGGCTTGGCAGCACATGCCTGTAATCCCAGCTACTCAGGAGGCTGAGGCAGAAGCATCACTCGAACCTGGGAGGCAGAGGTTACAGTGAGCCAAGATCGTACCACTGAACTCCAGCCTGAGCAACAGAGAGAGACTCTGTCTCAAAAACAAACAAACAACAAAAAAAAACCAAGGTAGTACAAAAAAAAAAAACCTACAGATCAATATCCCTCATGAAAATATACATGAAAATCCTTAACAAAGTATTAGCAAATAGAATTCAGCAATATATCTCAAGGATTGTACACCATGACCAACTGGAATTTATTCCACAGATGAAAGGGTAGTTGAATATTTGAAAATCAATCAATACAATTCACCATATTAACAGGTGAAAGAAGAGAAAACATATGATCATACACATTAATGCAGAAAAAGCATTTGACAAAATTCAGCACCCATTCATGTTAAAAAAAAACTTTTAGAAAAATGGGAATAGAAGCATTGCTTAACTTAATAAAGAGCATCTACCCACAAAACTATAGCTAAGACACTTAATGCTTGAAAGACTAAATGCTTTCCCCCACAAAATTAGTGACAAGGCCAGGAGGTCCACTCTTCTTTTTTTTTTTTTTTTTTTGAGACGGAGTCTCACTCTGTCGCCCAGGGTGGAGTGCAGTGGTGTGATCTTGGCTCACTACAAGCTCCGCCTCCTGGGTTCATGCCATTCTCCTGCCTCAGCCTCCCGAGTAGCTGGGACTACAGGCACCCTCCACCACGCCCAGCTTATTTTTTTTCTTCTTTTCTTGTTTTTTTTTTTTTTTTTTGTATTTTTAGTAGAGACGGAGTTTCACCGTGTTAGCCAGGATGGTCTGGATCTCCTGACCTGGTGATCCACCCGCCTCGGCCTCCCAAAGTGCTGAGATTACAGGCGTGAGCCACCGCGCCTGGCCAGGAGGTTCACCCTTATTCAGCGTAGTGCTAGAAGTTCTAGCTAGTGAAGTCAGGCTAGGAAAAAAAAAAAAAAAGCATCTAGTTTTGCTTATGTTTGCAAATCAAGAAGATTAAGGTCACTTATGAAGCATAATGGGCTTTGTCTGCTCAGGGATTCTTCACACTGGTCTTCATTTTAATTTATTTCAACACTACAGAGATGAGGAAATCACTTGGGAAACTTTTTAATGAACTAGCAAAGCCCAAGTTCCACTCCCCATGATTGGCTTCATCTGGTCCAGGGTAGGGCCTGGGCATCTGAATTTTGTAACACTCCCCAGGTGATTCTAAGGGGCACAGTCAGCAAATGTGAGAACCACTTTGGTGGAAGAGCTTCCACCAAACACCCAAATACAGTGCCTCTCCAGGTATGGTTCCTGACCAGTTGGCAGCCTCAGTGTCACCTGGGAGCTTGTTAGAAATGCCCAGCCCCAGGCCGGGCGCGTTGGCTCACGCCTGTAATCCCAGCACTTTGGGAAGCCGAGGTGGGCGGACCATCTGATTTCAGGAGGTCAAGAGCAGCCTGGTCAACATGGCGAAACCCTGTCTCTACTAAAAATACAAAAATTAGCTGGGAATGGTCGCACGTGCCTGTAATCCCAGCTGCTTGGGAGGCTGAGGTGAGAGAATCACTTGAACCCAGGAGGTGGAAATTGCAGTGAGCCGAGATCACACCACTGTACTCCAGCCTGGGTAACAGAGACTATGTCTCAAAAAGAAAGAAAGAAATGCCCAGCCCCAGACCCCACCCCAGACCTACTGAATCAGAAACTCTGAGGATATGACCCAGAGATCTGCTTTTTAAGAAGACCTCCTCTGATTCTGATGCCCACTCAAGGCTGAGACCCTCTGCCTCAGCAGATGAATTCTAGGAGCAGCTGATTCACAAACTAGAAAATAAACCTGGTTAAAAAGCATCAAGAACATTGTTCAGCCTCCCTGGCGATCAAAAGAAAGGCAATGTAAAAACAGCAGTGAAATCCCATGTGACACCTGTCAAATTAGTAAATTTCAAAATAAGGCAAAGAAATAATAATCCTTTATGATTCCCTTTTCACACAACTAGGTTAACACAAACATCTAGTTTGTCAAGGACTGAGGTTCCCAGAATTTGAGGCTTTCTGTGCTAAAGCCAGAAAATCTCTGCAAGCCGGGACCAGTTGGTCCTTCCATACGAGACTCACCAGATTGGTATCACTATGGCTTACTCTCTGTTGTCCCCACCGGACTGTAATCCATAGGAACAGGACCCTGTGTGTCTTGTATTATAGCCTGGTCAAAGGCCTCAGAGTCTAGAGGGGAGGAGAACAAGTGCTGAGTTCAATCTGTCTGGCTTCAAGTCCTAACCCCACAGATTATCAGCTGTAAGACCTTGAACAAGTTATTTCTGCTTTCTGTACCTCAGTGTTCTCATCTGGAAAATGGGTATGGTAAGAATGACACAGGACTGACCTCATGGGGATGTTGCGAGAATTGAACATGAGTTACTGCCTGTGACGCACTTAGAATAGTGCTGGGCATATAGAAAGTGCTCTATGACATTAGCTACAATTATGAAAGGAGGGGAGCCCACAAACCCCATTTGAGAGATTGGAAGTAACCGCGTGGTGGTTGCAGAAACTGTGGGTGGCTGGATTTTCTGGATGGTGGATAGACAGCGTCTCTGGCTACTTCCAAAGGGTCAAGAGGGAACTTTTCAGGGTGAGGAAGATGACACAGGGGGGCTGCAGGCTGCCCCTGGCCTCCCCCTTTCTGGGTCCCCTACTCATTTTCCCTTAGACAAACTCCCAGTGCCTGGAGTCCTCAGGGCTCGTGGCCTAAAACTACCCTTTCCATTGCATCCTCACTTGAGGAGGCCGGGGCTCAGCTGGAGAGGCCACCACAGGAGAGTGGGTGCTTCTGTTCGTTGTTGAGGAACCAGGACTGAGCTTCTAGCACAGGGTAGGTACTTTGTAACTATTTGTTAAATGATTAATTTTAATGAGTCAATCTTTGTTTTGTTTTTGTTTTGTTTTGATAGGGTCTCTCTCTGTCGCTAAGGCTGGAGTGCAGTGGCACAATCTCCACCTCAACCTCCTGGTTTCAAGCAATCCTCACACCTCAGCTTCCCAAGTAGCCAGGACTACAGGTGTTTACTACCACACCCAGTTAATTATTGTATTTTTTTCTTTTTAGAGATGGGGTCTCACTATGTGGCCCATGCTGGTCTTGAACTCCTTAGCTCAAGCAATCTTCCCTCCTTAGCCTCCCACAGTGCTGGAAATACAGGCGAGAACCACTGTGCCCGACCTAAATACCTTTTTAATTATCGTCATCTATCAGTGCCCAGATCTGCCTCATCTCTGGTCCTGCCCTTGATCAAGACCGTCCCAGCTGTGTCCTTCCTGTTGGGTCATGAACCAGGAAGCAGAATGGCCATACCCAAAATGGCTGCACCTGGGAATCCCCCAGAGGTCCTGTCTCCCCATTCCCCACCTCGACTTGAGAGATAGCAAAGGGAAAGAGAACATACTGGATGCAATAGTCAGATGCCTAAATCGTCTTCTTTATCACTGTCATTAGGAACCTAACACAAGGGCCCTGTGTCCTGGCTCCTCAATGGCACTGCACATATTCTCTCAGCTCTGAGGCTCTAAATAGCCTGCTTGTTAGGCTTAATGGGAGCGTCCGTCCAGAAGAGAGTGCTTGTGAAAGCAATGAAGGCTGAATTCACCCCACTCTTCCCCTCACCCTGCCCTCTGGAATGGATTATCCTTCCTGTGTGTCCCTCCGGGACATGCCACTACCAACACTTTAACAAACTTGTTCATCATTTTCCCTTTCCTAGCCCGTGAGTTTTTGAAGGACAGGGACCCTCTTCATTCATCATTTGTTTAGGGAACCCCTACCTAGGAGGTGGCTGGTACTACCCTAAATAAGGCAAGCAGAGATGAATAAGACACAGCGGAGGAATTTATAACTAGCCACCTCCTGTCTTACTCATCTCGGCATCCTCGGCATTTAACACAGTGCCTGGTAAATAAGACACATATTTGTTAAACAAGTGGATGAAAATCCCTAAATGACCCCAAATCAGGCTATGGAAGGTGCCGTAACTAAAATCCACTGTAGCACTGCTGTGGCAATCTAGGCCTCCTCCCCACCCCGCCCTCGAGGAGAGGCAGCGATGGCGACAGGACGGCTGTGAGTCACGTAAGGACTGAAGGCGTCCTTTATAGGGCAGATCAATAGCAGCACAGCCAGCTAGTGTTCCTCAGCCCAGTCCTGCCTTTTGTGGAAGAGAGACCTGCAAAACCGAGACCTGCCTTCCAGGAGTGGAAGTGGATTCACAGTGTCACAGTGTTCTTTGTTGTCGTTTTATTTTTTTCCCTTTTAACAAAAATTGGGTCACATAGTACATGCTATTTGGTAACTTTGGCTTCCCCCCGCCCCCCAGCACTTACTAGCTATAATGAATATTTTTTCCAGATTACTAAACTTACATATTAAGCACCTTTTTTATTTTTATTTTTTCTGAGACAGGGTCTTGTTCTCCCATCCAGGCAGGAGTGCAGTGGCGCACTCACAGCTCACTGAATCCTTGCACTTCTAGGCTCAAGCAATCTTCCCACCTTGGCCTCCCAAAGCACTGGGATTATAGGCGTGAGCCACCACGTCAGCCTTAAGCACCCTTTTTAATGGTTACATAATGTTCCATCTAAGGAATGTATATTACCCTTTACTTAACTGTTTCCCTGCTTT